TTTTTTTTTTTTTTTTTTTTTTTTGAGCCAGAGTCTCACAATGTAGTTCAGGCTGGCCTTGAACTCACTAGGTAGCTCAGACTGGCCACAAATTTGCAGTGATCCTCCTGCCTCGGCCTCCCAATCATCGGGATTACAGGCATGCCTCACCATGCCTGGCTAAAAATTGTACTTTAAAAAGTTAAGCCAATTAAGCTACCTAATTCAGATATATATTCTTCATTCTCATGTAGTTCTTCTCAAATTACACATTAATTCTATATTTTAGGAGGGTGTTTGTTTTACTTCACTTACAGGAATTCTAGGAATACAGCCAAAGAAAATAACTATAAGGGCTAGGGTTTTAGCTCAGTGGTTCCACTGCTTGCCTCACAAGCACAAGGTTCAATCCCTGGTACCAAAAAAAAAGAAACACCAGTGAAAAAAAAAAAAAAAAAAAAAAAAAAAAAAAAAAAAAATCCCCAAAATAAAACTGTACATGTTCACAAAAATATAGACAGCAAAGAACTACAGATACACAAGAAAGTATTTAACTCATAATTGCATGCAATGCAGTCATTAAAAATTATGTGACAAAAAATTTAATGGCATAGAAACATGTGCAGGGCATTTAAGGGAAACAGCTCACAAAGAATACGTGTAAGATGAACTCATACGTACATTGCACATACACAAGCATACTTATCAGAAGTTGTCGTAGTACTAAAATGATGTATTAAGATTTCTTTGGTTTTTCTAAATTTATGGAACTGTATATCATGATTATAATAACATTCATTCTAAATTCTTAAAGGATTCCTATACTAATCCTATTCTACAGGTTTATTTTAACAAAGAATGATTCGTAGTCCTCTAAATTTTCCCTATCTTATTAATAAAAATTTTGGAGTATTCATATTTGTAAAACTCTCAAAGGGAGTGAGGCACCTCATAAAAAGTTAATTTTTTTCTTCTTCAGAAGTGAAATGTTTACAGATTAGAATATGGTTAAATGTTTAAGTGAATAAGGATTAACATCTAGCTTCCTTTCTAACAAGAACATCCAATTGTTTTTTTTTTTTTTTTTTTTTTTTTTTTT